AAACCCAGTACCTTCTGCTCGATTACATATACAGGCAAAATAACAACAAAAATTGCCAAACACATAAAAAAAAAGGAATAACACCAGCTTTCCGAACAAATAACAACCTAGGCAAATATATTAAAAATAACAAGAGCCAAAATAAAAAACACTTAAATAGTGGTGTGTACAAACTTCAATGTGGCGACTGCTCAAAAACTTACATCGGTCAAACTGGTAGAAACTTTGATAAACGAATAGCAGAACATAAAAGGGCTTTCAATAATAGAAAAACGGATTCTACGTACGCACTTCACCTTCTAGATCATAATCATTCTTTTAATGACAAATTTAAAATTCTTCACATTCAAAATAAAGGTATTAAGCTATCTTTGTTAGAATCTATGGAAATCAACAAATTAAAAAATACAGATATAATTCTGAATGACCAACTTGAGACAAACAGTTCTCCCCTCCTCAACCTATATCATTAGAGACTATAAATTTGTAAACCCAAGCCAAAATAGATCACTTGAGAAAGGCAATCAGCCGAAACAGCTGTAGTGATAATAGTTAAAATAAATTTTGTGGAAGTTTGAAAACAAAGTTTTCAGCGTTTTATTGTTACACAAAAGAAGTTGTTGCTGCCGTCTATCTGCCATCGTGTACAGCGGTTGACTACGTGTCCATCGACTTTATGGAAGATTTTGCAGAAAGATCTTGCTTTGCGTGCTTATAAAATCCAACTCTTGCAAGAATTAAAGGTACATTCATAGCAAGGCGTAGATTCGTAGATTCGGTGAGTGGGTCCAAAACGAGATTGCCGTTGATTCACATTTTTTTAATCGAATTTTGTTAGCGATTAAGCTCATTTTTGGTTGAATGGCTACGTCAACAAACAAAACTGCTCTATTTGGAGTTAAGATAATCCTCAAATGTGTGTTGAGAAACCATTACATTCAGAAAAACTGACTGTTTCGTATGTTTTATGGTCTGGTGGAATCATTGGACCGTACTTCTTCAAAAACGATGCTGGGCAGAACGTTACAGTCAATGGTGATCGCTATAGAGCCATGATTACTGCCTTTTTCATTCCTCAATTGAACAACCATGATGTGCAGGAGCTATCATTTCAATAAGACGGAGCAAGTTGTCACACAGCTCGTGCCACAATTGATTTTTTGAAAGAAATGTTATGAAAGAAATAGTTTCATGTTTCGGACCGTAAATTGGCCTCCAAGATCGTACGATATAACACTGCTAGACTAGTTTATGTAATGATATGTCAGGGTGCTAGTCTACATCAATTATTGCCGATAAAACTCCTTGCCGATATACGGCGACAAATATTGGAAAAAGTGATCTAAAATTCGATTTTCATATCGGTAGTTATTACTGGTTATTTTAAATCATAACAAAACATAACATAATATTGTAATAAAAATAATTCAATTCAATTTCATCTTTTATCGCATCAAAAAGTTGATGTTTTAGCGACTAAAGAAATATTTTTGTTATTGCTTCAAAGATTAGCAAGGTCAAAGCCACGAACCGTCCATGTGCTTCGCAATAAATATTAGGTAATACCTTAGATTCATCCAAATTCTTCAAATGTTTTAATTTTGTATGTAGATATAGTGCTACAATATTTGTATAAACTCCTTTAAACCTATGACGGCCGATATGTAATTAAGATATGATCAGTGGGCCTCAAACAGTGGGGGCGTTAATACCTATTTAATTTCGATCGCTTGAAAAGTAAAAATATTTAGTTTCCTGTATTTTATGTTCAGTAATAACATTGGATTTTACTGTATCAAAGACAAATAAAATGAATATAATATGTATATACAGGGCGTGTTAAAAGAAGTAGGACGGAATATTTCGAATAATCGAAAATATTTGTCGACATCAAATGTTCATCAAAGTCTCTATAAGTCTCTATTTTGCGTAGGGTAAAAATTATACGAATGATTTTGCATGCAGTTAAATTGGAAAATACTTGCCAAGTTGCTGGTATGTCCAAATTTGAATAAAATAAATCCAAGACTTTACTTTCTGCAGACACTGTATTAAATATAATCTTAAAACAAATTGGCACTAAATCACTTCCGAGTTTTCAGCAAAACAAAAGATTCAAACACGTGTAGTCCAGTAATTAATACCAAAGCTATTAAGAGTATGCTATCCAGTAATTAGACCGAAGGTACTTTATCGTTTAACTAAAACACACCACAAAGTCCGAATTGAATTCCTCATATTATTGATATTTCACTGTCAGAGTCGTCACTATCTGAATTGTCTATCCGAATAATTAGAGGCCGGACCACATCCATAATTCGCTCCGTTTGAAAAGACTGAACGATAATGTCTTCCATATATCTAATACAATTTTGCCATTGTTCTCAAAACAGCCCAGATAGATGCTGTTCTTCTTGATAATCGAAGAGAGAAACTCAGAATGACTGTCTTTAGCGGTAGCCGAGAATCCAAAAAAACATGACTCACCTTGGCGGTAGTCAGATCAAGAGAGAGTCTTTCTTCTTTGCTATCTTAACACTGTCTGTATTTCTTAAGGGAGGGGGGTTAAAATGTAAGTAGAAAGGGTTATTAAGGGTTGGACTAAGATAATTATTGTAAAATTGTGAATTTTCGCATGTGAAAAAATTGAACACTCTCCAACCTTTGAAGTAAATCGACTTTTAAAAATATGTCACTGTGATAAATTTTCTATTCTGTCAACAAAAAACTTTATTTCTTCTTTTGTCCAGTTTTGTCTATTTCTATTATGGATGGTCGCTCCAATTTTTTTACCAAATTTTCTTCAAACCATTCTTCAAAAATATTTGTATTCATATTTTCATGGTGTATTCTTTGTGGACGAAAAAATTAAACTAGCGTCAGGAATAAAACCCTCATTATTTCCAGCATGAAGTTATAATGTAGTGTTTACCATTACCGAAACGACTAGAAGAATATCATTTCGTAGTGCCATCTTGCCAGGATGATTTTGACATATTTTCTTTAGCGAAAATCCAAGTTTCATCTAAAAATACAACCTGCCTCGGACTATCAGACGTTTTATTGTTTATGTATTTTCTTAAAAAATGAAACAACATTAGAACGTTTTGAAACAACATTAGAGAGTTCACACAATACTTGTCTATTATTTGTCTTTTTACATCGAAAACCTAAATGTTTCTGCACTCTCCACAAACTTGTTAAACTAATATCACACAGTTCCTTGTCTTTTATTTTTTGTAACACAGCATGAATTGTTACAGGTTCTTTGTTTAATAATCCGAAAATATATAAGACATTGCAATACAAGTGTAAAAACAGCCGGTATATCTACCCTCACAAAATTATATAAATTAAATTGCACAGATACAATATTTGTCTTAAAACAGATTACAGATAATGTATTAGAATATAAATAATATAATGGACTCGTATTCCTATGTTTGATCGACTTTAAGGAGGCATTTGACAGAGTAATACTTAAAGATGTAATACATCTCTTGTATGATAAAAAGATCCTGTTATATATTATAAAAACAATTGAAAAATTCTACCAAACCAATAAGATTGAAGTCAGAATAGATGGACAATTTACGGAACATATAGATACAGGCAATGTACATTTTGCACGTTATATTATATATAAGTCTAAATAGGCAGACAATAAATTTTATCTAAAATAATTAATAATTACCAATTTTATGTCAATTCGCTCAAATGTCAAATGTGGTCAAATCAAAGAGTCGATAGAGTCAAAATATATCGAGCAATGGAACATTTGGGTATACCAAAGAAACTGATCCGGCTAGTTAAAATGGCACTTAATAACTCTACGTTTGAAATTGCTTGGCAGGGTCACATATCAGATCAATTTACGGTTGCAAAAGGCTTGAGACAGGGAGATCCTTTGTCCACTACATTATTCAACTTATTCAGTGTTGGAAACTGTAATCAGAAAATGCAGCATGAAGGCGGAAGAAACAATCATGAAAAATGAGCACCAGTGCTTGGCATTTACTGACGATTTAACGATCCTAGCAAAAACCGAGAAAGAATTAAGAAAAGTTGTGTAGAAAATCATCGAAGAAGCACAGAAATTCGGATTGGAACTAAATGAAGACAAAACCAAATATATGATCATGGGAGGAAAATAAGGAAAAAAATAAGACTAGTGTGAGGTCTGTAAGTGGTAGAAACTATAGTTTTAAAAGGGTGGACAAATTTGAATACCTGGGTGTAGTTTTCGATGAAAATGGAAAAGAGAAATGGTAGATCGAAGTCAAAATAGCAAAAGGGAATAAAAAATTAGGTAGTTTAAGAGCCCTACTGAACTCAAAATACGTTTCTAGACAAGGTAAACTCAGAATATATAAAACAGTAATTTGACCCACAGTAACATCTGCCAGTGAGACATGGACATTAAATAAGGAAGAGGATACTCTGGAAAGATGGAAAAGGAAAATATTGAGACGTATATTCGGAGGATGGAAGACAGAAGATGGTTGGGAGAGAAGAACCAACAATGAATAAATGGCTTTATACAAAAAACCTACCATTACCAAGTTCGTCAAGGCACAAAGAATCAGATGGTTGGGACATGTGGAAAGAATGACAGCAAACAGAGTGCCTAAACTGTCAAAAGGCTCAAAAGAAGAGGTAGACCCAGAACGAGGTAAATTAGTAAAGCGGAGGAAGACCTTAAACACGTGAAGGTGAGGGACTGGAAAATAAAAGCACAAAATAGAAGTGAATGGAGAAATATTGTCCACCAGGTCCTTCAGAGTAGATAACAATGTTGTATATACATATTAAAGTTAAAGTTTTGTTTAAAATAATTGTAATTAGTTAATATTATTATTATGTTTAAAAAATATGCTCTAGGCCTTAAGGGCTTGTTGTGCGTAAAAATAAATAAATTGATAATTACCAATTTTATGTCAATTGGAAATTATAATCGTTTCTAAGAAACTTGGATGCTTCTTAATGATAAAATTTTATACCTGACCAAATTATGTAGGTCGCAATCACAAACCACAGCAACGAAAGCCAATGCAATAAAAGTATGAACCGTTCGGACAATTCACAACAATTTAAAACCATCAATGACTTTTCCGGTATTTTTATAGAAACTGTTACAAAAACTCACCTCTAGCACTTATTGTTAAAGCAAACACTCGGTTACATCGACAAAAATAGACTATGACTTACCTAAAACTTGTTGAAACTAAAATTTTAATCGTATAACCACAAATGCATACTTCAGATTTTTTCGTTTTATCGTATTTTTTCAAATTCTTTGTTAACAATGCAGAGTAAACATCCTTATCTAGGTACACTATTTATACGATGTGACAAACAAACAAATTTTTATGGTAAAATACTAGGCTAGACGATAAAGTCATAATTAGATTTAAGAAATTCATATTCATAAGGAAAATGCTAAAAATAAATGTAAGAAACTCTCACAAATTAGTCAGTAAATTTATTTATTCAAAGATTATTTTTACCCTTATATTTTCTACTAGAATTTTAGTAAAGTACGTTCATCCTTCTTTTGTAAATGATTTAGTACAGTACGGTAGAGGACGCCCACCAACTAGATGACTGCAGTCCCAAGGAGACTTGAAGCCACAGAAACATCATGCTACAGGATTATAGACGGATCAACATGGGAAGATAGAATATCCAATGCAACCATCAAAAAAAGGCTCCAGTACACACCACTGAGGGAGGTGGCTGAGAAAAGGACCAGATACTTCTTCCACCAGGCCACAAGAAGATTCCGTAAGACCAGGGACATCCTCGAGAAGAACAGGATCCAGAGGATGTACAGACACACCCGTGAGCTGATCGACTATCTGATCAGGGTCTAGCGGGATGGTTGCCGAAGAACAGCCAACCTAGAAAGTGGGTACTATGCCACAAAAAGTACCTACAGAAGAAGAAGCCAGGAAATCAATAGCAGAAGCCCAGGAATCAGAGAGGAAAAATCATCCACATAGGGCGGTGCAAGAGCGGGACGTCGTGAAGAAGAAAATCAAATACTTAACAGTTTGCAATGTATTATTATAATGACAACAAACGTTGTTATTTTTATTTTTATTATAACTAGATGAATTGATGGGCAGAAGGGTGTTAGCAATAACTGGATGCAAGCCGCACAAGACAGAGACAGATGGAAAGAGCTGAAGGAGACTTATGTCCAGCAGTGGATGCATGCAGATTAATGATGATATCAGTACAATAGCGGAGAAATACACGGGTATTTCCGATATATGTGACACATCCTAAAATTATTCCTAAAGATAATTCATAAGAGAATTTACAAGCTGTGTGAAAGTCAAATTTTCCCCAACCAGTTCGGGTTCACAAATGCTGTTGGTACTAGAGAGGCTTTGTTCTCAGTACAACTTTTATTAGAGAGATGCAGAGACGTCAACTGCGACGTACACGCATGTCTGGTTGATTAGGAGAAAGCATTTGATCGAGTGCAGCACGCCAAAATGACGATAATACTAAAAGAAGCAGCAATTAACAACCAAGATCTGAAAATAATTAGAAATCTTTTTTTTCTACCCTAAGTCACGTAAAAACAGTACATTTATAAACAGTCGTAAGCTAGTCAAGAATTAGGAGTATCTTCTCTCTCGAGAAAGACTTAAAAGATAGTTGCAAGATTTTGGAAAAGAAAAATATTATAGAACATAAAGAAGTACTAAGAGTGGTGGAGAAGATCAAAAACGAAAAAAGACACGAAGAAGGGAAGAAGTCAAAATAGATAGAATTCTACTTCAGCTACCAAAGAAAGAGTTAATACCCGGTAGCAAAGCAGTAAGTTCTAGAATTTTGTAAGACAGATATAATTTTTCAGATAGTTTCTATACAATTCAATAGACTTGTTCTTTTGCAAATCATTTGTTCTTAGTGCATGTGCATTCACGAAACTTTAGTGCATTTTCAAGGGCGACTAAAATTCAAGCAGTATATTGCCAACAAGAGGCACAAATTTGTCAAACTTTGTCTGGAAGGTGGTTATACCCATGATTTTAAGGTATATTTTGGAAAAGAACATGCTGAAGGTAGCACCGTACCAACAAATGTAGTGATGAAACTTATAGATGGACTGCTTGACGCTACTTGGCCAACACTTGCAATTGATAACTACCACAGTTCTGTCACACTTGCACATGAAAACCTACACCGAAATATTTTTGGTACGCTACTTGCAAACCACAAATATAATCCCAAAAACGTCATTTCCAAAAAATTAAAAGAAGACGAGCATGTAGTAGCAAAGTAATTCGGTCATCGTTATTCAGAGGTGGTGGAACAAGCGAGATGTGCTTATGATTAGTACCAAATTCGCAGACGAAATGGTGATAATGTAGAAGGTATGCAGTGATGTTGTAAAAGTCAAATAATGTCATCGAATGTAATAAATACAAAAGCTTCATTGATATATCAGATCAAATGAAAAGCTATAATTCGCCATTACGTAAAGGAATAAAATGGTACACAAAATTATCGATGGAGCTATTGACTGACACAGCACTTATAAATGCCTATGTCGCGCATCAAAGCATTGCCAATGAAAGCACGACGATTACCAAATTCAAGGAAGAGGCCTATTAGGAGAGTTTATTGTCACACCAGTCATTATGGAAAATAGTCATTTTCTTTTTTTCCTTAGGTAACCTTAGATCATTATATTAGGAAAAAATTAGCGTTAATTTGATATAAAAAAACAAGTGAGTTTGATTAACTACGTTATGAACATATCGATCCTGCAGTGGGATCTTAGTGCAGACTATAAACTCATATTTCCTGTCGAGTTTCTCCCAAACAAAGCGCAAAATCTTCAACACTTTGCCTCTTCTTATCATTGGCAAATAGTTATTATTAATGCCGGCTAAAAGTTTATCCAGATATGAAATTAATGCACTTTTCATCGACTTTTTTTTGCAACCTTTTGCAGTTCCTTACTTTCGTTGTTTCACAAGTTTTTAAACGATTGCGTCTTCGATAACTTCGATGGTTACGATACAAGTCGTAAATGACTATTTAGAAATTATAAATTCTTGATCATGGTACAATTTATAAGTTTCAGCACCGCACAACTATCCTCTATACATTGTTTTGACTTTTTGGCTACACCCTGTATGGTGACAGATGGAAAGATGATACGTTATGATGTATTTTTGTCGAAAGTATTCGCGATAGCCAAGTCCGACAGGGGGCGCTGAAGATTTTAAAGATGGACGACAACTTATGGAAAACAAATCGTTTTGTCATTTGATCTCTAAGGTATAAAACGTTTAATATAAATCATTTACACGTGTGTTTTGCCAAAGTAAAAGTTGGAGTACGTTATTCAAAGTTTATTTGTTTGTGATTCGAGTTTATACATAAAGGTAATTGACTCCCAAGCCTGAATAAAAATTAAATTAAATGTTTGTTTTTCTACAGTATGTCTGAAACACGGGAAGTAAAATTTACAGTATCTTAATTATTTATATTTATATCGAAGAATGTCCTGGATGAGCAATTTAAGAGAGTAGTTTGGCTGTACCACTAACGAATTATTCAAAACAGCAGTCAATAAAATTAGAATTGCAATAATGATATCTAATCTCCGATAGGAGAGGCGCTCAAAGAAGAAGAAGAATAATTTATATGGTTGCAAGTTCGGCAGAAATCTTTAGTTGAGGGTGAGGCAGTTTATGGAGCTGGCCACGTTTTATTTTGTAAATTACGCCTTACGTTTTTATGAGACCGTTGGGCACTATTAATAACTTTATGAGACCGTTGGGCAAATTTACCTGATGAAACAGCATTTTTCTTCAGTCTTCTTAATTTAGTTTCAGGTGTTACTATAAAGTAAATTAAGTATAAATATATTAAAATACAAATAATATTTTAATCAACACTTGGAAAGTAATCGTTCTCAGTAAAATGTAAACAGCACACAGTCACGTACTTGGTTATATGTTTGCCAATTCACAAAATGTATTGCCAAACTTTTCTCATATTCTCGTCCAGCGGAAACTTAAGTATGGAATTTTTTTTGTGAATTATAATAGGATGAACATTGAGGAACACTGCAATAGTTTTTTGAAGTCGAAGTCATTGTTAATTACAATATAAACCGGTCGCTAATATGTATACAAAATAATGACAATTTCAATGTTTTCCCGAAGTGGATGCTTTTGAAATCTACCACCAGGCGTCGCCCACTTTGCGGTTTCTTGCCAATGGACCGTAGGAGTGTGACGTCACGACTGTCACATTGTCATTATTACTTTCCAAACAAACGTTGAAATGTCAAATCTCAAGACTTTTTAATTCCTATAAAGTTAACATTTTGCTTCCTCTGCTGCTTTTTCTTGTAAGTATAGTGTTTTTTACGATAATACCATCATAATTCAGAGTTCTATTTCTATGAAATATGGTTTAAAAGTTTAATTAAAGAAATTTTAACCTTACTTTATTGATACTTGCATTTTATTCCTATTAGCATAAAACAATGTGCTTTATTATTTACACAACCTTGTAAAATTGTTGTAGTAACTATTAGAATACTTAAATATTGCAAAAAGCGGAAAGATTCTATAAAATAAATGAAAAAATAACGAAAAATACAAATTATCCACACTAAACAAGGTTTGTTTGGAAAGTGAAACTGACAGATGTCAATCAAATCTACGTCATCACTCCTGTGATCCATAGTCGAAAAGAACACGTGATAGCTATCCGACGAATTGACAGTTGACAGACGAGAAAAAAAAATGACAGTTGGCATCACAGTTAAAAGCAGCCATCTTGTGATGTCAGTGGTTCGTTCCCATGGGGGGAAGGAGCTGTAAACATTAAAGGATGCCACCGATAAGAAAGTTTCCACGTTCACTTGTCACACCTGCCACGTGCCACAACTGCACACCTGGCATCAAATGATGCCGCTTTTTCCCACGGTCCGAAAAATTTTCCCACGCTCTAGTGCGCCATCCTCTGCGTTGTTCCGTGGTTTCAGTGCGTGAGTCTGCGTGAAGGCTTTCTTTACTGATAGTGGGAGAAAAGATATTCTCTCTTCCGTCTTTGGCATTAAGTCTCCCGCTAATAATATTCCGCATAATTTTTCATTGATAATACTTATCAAGTT